CAATAAATACCAGTAAATGTTTGGATACCCTGCAAAGAGGCATTTAAATAAAATCTAGTTGCCAGACTTCACCCAGATTGGTTTCTCTATGTTGGACAGGTTTAACTAGAGATGGGGGCAGTGATTGGCTGTTTGGGTTATTTTGGGCACAGAGCTTGCAGGCTCAAGTCACCTGTTTTAGTGTCTTGAAAAGTTTTTCTCATAAACAAATAAGATATCAACTGAAATATAAAGAATCCCTTCCCTAATGAGTGGAATTATGAAAATACCTAACTATTCTCCATTGATCAGCACTTGGCATTAGTAATTTATTACCATTAGCCAGCCAGAGGGGTCCTGGGCCAAACTGTGATCCTTGGCACATTTTTGTTCTTCCTTGGAGTATTCTGCCTCAGCTATATCTGGGGCAGTGGGCACTAGCATGCCCATAAGCTGAACTGGCTCTTTTAGTGCAGTGGCCTTGGCTGCCACATCTGCAAGGGACATTTCCTTTTACAATATCAGAGTCTCCCTTTTGATGTCCTCTGCAATGAATTACAGCCACTTCCTTTGGCAGTAAAACAGCATCTAACAAGCTCAAAATCTCTGAATGACGTTTTCTGGGGGAGGCCTTGGTGGTCATGAGTCCCCACTCTTTCCAAATGTTAGCATGACCACAAAGCATTAAAAAGGCATACTTGGAATCATCAAAAACATTAACTTTTATGCCCTTTTCAAATCACAGAGCCCTAGTAAGGGCAATTAGCTCAGCTTCCATCTGTAAACCATTCTGCCTCAGGATTGTTAAAGGGCTCATCTCTTAAGTCAAGCCTGCTAGAATAAATTTGCTCCATAACCTGCATGCAGGATTTGTTTGGAGTGTCTGTGGACTCTGGCAGACAAGCAGCTGGGTTTACTTGGCAAACTTTTAAGAGTTATGTCTGGTGTATCTAACAGTAAGTCCTGATGCTTTAATAAACATCCTTCCATCATCCACTGGTGCCCTTTAACCTCTAGGACACACACTTGGTGTGTGGCCAAAACCTCCAGGTGCTATCCTAAAGTTAGTGTTTTAGCTTCGTCTGCCAGAAGAGCAGCTGCTGCAACAGTCCTAAGGCATCCAGGCCACGCAGAAGCCACATGGTCTAGTTGCTTAGAAAATTAGGCTATTGGCTGTGTAATATTCCCCAATTTTTGGACAAGAACATCCAAGGCCATACCTTGCTTTTTGGCCACATAAAGGAAAAATGGCCTAAGGCTGGAGCAGAGCTCAATTTCACTTTGAGAGTATTGAAGATTTGTCTGCAATTCTCATTCCAATCGTAGGGTTTTAAATCTGTCCTTTTTTAGAACCTCATATAGAGGCTTGGAATGTTTGCCCAAATCCAGGCACTCATAAGTGGCAGAACCCCATCATCCCTAAAAAGGCCCACATTGGTCTGAGGCTATGGCTTGGGTGCCAGAGGTTAAGATATATCCCAAATTAATTCTGGAGGAATGCGATAAATGAGAAAAAAATAAACTAATAGTAAATAATAAAAAAAATTATATAAAAAAGATATATCCCAAATGCTTGACTTTCTGAGTAGAAATATGAGCCTTGTGTGATGATACCTTATATCTACTGGTTCCCAGGAAATTTAGCAATTTAACAGTAGTATTATCTGAGTCCTCTTTAGTTGGGCTAGTGATGAGCAAATCATCTACATACTGGATAATTGTGCCCTTTTGCAGTTATAGATTCTTTAAGTTCTTAGCTAGAGCATTTCCAGACAGATATGGGCTATCCTGCAATCCTTGAGGGAGAACTGTCCAGGTTACTTGTGAGGTTGAATGAGTATCTGGATCAGACCATTCAAAGGCACACAGAGGTTGTGGATCTGGATGCACTGGGTGCAGAAAATGCATCATCCTTATCTACCTTTTTTCTCTCCTCAGGGGACAGGAACAAAAGTAACATTCATTTGCTTTATGATCTCTGAAGGTAACCATAGCTTGCAGCCAAATCAATAAATCCCACCCCAGTAAGGGTAGGACATGCAGGTAGTACTCAAAAGCCATGCAAGAAAACCAGAGTCCGTGAAGAGCAGCTTAAAGGATAAGGAAAGTGGCATTTCTAGACTTGCCTGTCAATGCCGGTACAGCTATGAGAAGACAGGGCCCCATTATGCTGGGCCAGAACAAAGTAAACTACTCCTGTACTGAGCAAGAAATTAATAATCTTACCTGCCACTTCAAGAGTCACCTGAGGCTCCTCCAGAGCAATGGCTAATTGTCCAACAGGAACTGAGGTGTGAAGTCTCCGGCCATCACTCTTGGGTCTGCTGGGCCATTATGGGTTCAGGAGCCAACAGCTCTCTTGAGGACAAAAGGCATTCCCTCTTCCAGTGACCAATCTTCTTACAGAAAACACATTGGTTTACACCCAGGACACAGTGGGCTTTGGTTTACACTGGGGCTTTCTGCCTGCTTGCTTCCTCTGGCAGGGCTTGGGGGATAAGAGGCTGGCTCTGAAGGGGTGGAGAGCTCAAGGCTGCAGCTAAAAGCTGGACCTTTGGGGAGGTTTGGTCATTGAAAACTGTAAAAGTCATGTCTAATAGCTGATTTATGGAAGTCCAGGGGCCTAAGGTTCTTTTATATCTTCCTGCAGATATCAGGAGCAGACTGGGTTATGAAATGGACTCTTAGCAATGCCTGTCCCTCCTTGGAGTCAGAGTCAGTGTTAGTATATTTCCTCAAGGGCTCAATTAACTATCCTTGGAAAAAGGCTGGGTTTTTATCCTTTCCCTGAGTAATTTCTCTGACTTCATCATAATTAACAGTCTTTACCACACATCTTCTCATTCCTTCAAGGAGGCAAATAGTCATATGGTTTTTCTTCTCAAGTTTCTTTCTTCCTTTTTTTGAGACAGAGTCTTACTCTGTTGCCCAAGCTGGAGCGCAGTGGCAAGATCTCAGTTCACTGCAACCTCCACCTCCCATATTTAGGTGAGTTCTCCTGGTTCAGCCTCCCGAGTAGCTGGGACTACAGGCATGTGCCACCACATCCGGCTAATTTTTATGTTTTCAGTAGAGATGGGGTTTTCCCGTGTTGCCCAGGCTGGTCCCAAACTCCTGACTTCAAGTGATCTGCCCATCTTGGCTGCCCAAACTTAACTTCCTCTTGATAACTCCAATTTAGGTCCCAGTCAGGCACTGCTGTGCCTCCCACTGGATGGATGTCATGCCCCTGGTTGAAGGCTGCCAATCCATCTGCATATGCTTTAACAGCTCCCATAATATGCTGCTTTTCTTCTACTGTGAAGCAGGCAGACAGAAGTTTATGCAAATCTTGCCAGGTTAAATCATATGTCAGTGTTAGTCTCACAAATTCATCTATAAATCTTCCTAGATCCTCTAAAAACCAGCTGAATTTTTCCTGGCATAAGGCTGTCAGATACAGAAAAGGGTACATGTACCCATAGAGTGCCCCTGTCACCATCTGCCACCTCCTGAAGAGGGCAAAGAGTCAACTTTGCCAGCTGGTAAGAGGCCCCGCTCAGAGTGGTGCTAGTGGGGCTAGGCTTTTCGGGGAATGGATGTAAGACAGGGCTTGAAGGGTAAGGAGAAGGTGATGGCAGGACATCGGACATCCCCAAAGAACCAGTAGGGGTTAATAGTAGTTTGGACACTTCTTGGGAACTAGGAGTTTGACTTTGTTCCTCTGGAGCACTTGAACTTGCAGCAGGGAATGCGGCACCAGCTAGGCAAAGCCTGGGATTACAAGGTATTTGCATTAAGTGGTCATGAATTATGTCTAGTCCTCATTTTTTTTTTCTTTCTATCAAGCATATCCAAGCGTGTTTCAAATCCTGGCTAACCATTAGGAAGGCCTGAACATAGAGTATTTCTCCCCACTTAGTTTCCCTTCTGCAAAACAAATCAAGCCGAAATATAGTGAGTTGGGGCTGTTGTACTACCTGAGGTCCACCTTTCTGATCCTCCCAAAGGATACTGAGGCCAGTGTTATTTAAAAAAAAAAAGTTTATCTTAAGCCCATCCAGTTTAAATCTTTCCCAATGGGTTAAAATGCACCCTAGAAGTGAGCTCTTCAGGTAGAAACCCCCACATTCTCCAAGAGGACTGAGAGTGCCAAATACTCCTTGTCAGCAAGATTGCATTGCCCCCAGCCAAGCTCCACTAAAAGGGAGTTAGTGCCAATTTGGCCAAGGGAGAAACTCCTGGAGCCCATTGAGTCCCCTTGTTTATATCAAGATAATAATAACAAGTAAGCAGACCCATGGTCGCCTGAGGCAGTGCCACAAGGAACCCAGCAAAAAAAATAGATGTTGAACCAAACAAGGGAAATAGGCAAGCCGTAACTTGGGATTCCCTAACAAAACTATTTCAGGGCAAAAATGATATTCTGGGTCTAGAAAGCAGGGCCCAGCAGATGAAAGATGATCCTCTGATTAAGAGACAAGAGTTTTCACTGTTAAGAAAAAGTCTCCTGTCCTCCATTCTGGGGCTAATTGTTTGCAGGGACAGACGTAAAAGAGGATTTTGCTTACAGGGCATATTTAATCTTATCACATATGGCTGTTACATACCAGACTTTAACTTGTAACTGCAGTAATAGAGGAGTTGTTGCCCATTTCTTCCAATTATTAAGGTACAAAAAGACTAGATTCCTGAAAGACTTCTCGTTTCCAGTGTCCCTCAGACAAGTGGCAAATTGAGTCAGAGGAGAGGCAAGGAAAGTAAAAGGTAAACTGTTTGGTGGCCGGGCATGGTGGTTCATCCCTGTAATCCCAGCACTCTGGGAGGCTGAGGTCGGCGGATCACTTGAGATCAGGAGTTTGAGAGCAGCCTGGCCAACATGGTGAAACTGTCTCTACTAAAAATACAAAAAACAGCTGGGCATGGTGGCAGGTGCCTGTAATCCCAGCTACTGAGGAGGCTGAGGCAGGAGAATTGCTTGAACCCAGGAGGCAGAGGTTGCAGTGAGCCGAGGTTGCACCACTGCATTCCAGCCTGGGTGACAGAGTGAGACTCCATCTCAAAAAAAAAAAAAAAAAAGTCTAAACTGTTTAGGCCATCCTTCCTTCCTGTGGCAGTCTCAGGGCTTCTGTTAAACGAAGGCAGCAAGCAAACAGGAGATCAGGCAAGAAGCGGAGAGCAAGAAGCAGGACGATCAAGCCAGCAGCAGAGAGCACAAGGTGGATTTCTCCCAAAGAGATAGTGGCATATATCTCATAGGGCCAAATCCATTTTCCCAAATAAACCCTGGTGCTTGTAACCCCTTGAGCCTTGGGCCTCTAACCCAGGTAGTAGTGGACAAGCATTCTTGTCCCCCAGAATGGCTTAATGACTCTAAAATGAGCCCCGCTTACCCAAAGTCAGACAATCCATACTGCGCAGACTGTTTTCCTTCAGAGTGGGAGTTTCTTCTTATTGTCAATCCCCATACAAGGACACCAGAAAGATGTTGCCAGAAAAGAGGGTCATGATCCAGACCCCAAGAGTGGGTTCTTGGATTCTCACAGGAAAGGATTTGAGGCAAGTCACAGAGCACAGTGAAACATGTTTGTTGGAAACTACTGTTACAGGTTATGGAATCTGCAGCAAAAGAGGGAATCCTCCCTCTTTTGTTAGTGGCTCTACTTATAAGAAACTACAAGACCTGGTGTGGTGGCTCATGCCTGTAATTCCAGCACTTTCGGAGACTGAAGCAGGTGGATTACTTGAGGTCAGGAGTTCGAAACAAGCCTGGCCAACATGGCAAAACCCTGTCTCTTCTAAAAATACTAAATTAGCCTGGCCTGGTGGTGCACACCTGTAATCCCAGCTACTGGGGAGGCTGAAGTGGGAGAATCATTTGAACCTGGGAGGCAGAGGTTGCAGTGAGCCGAGATGGCGCCACTGCACTCCAGCCTGGGCAACAGAGCAGCAGAATGAGACTGTCTCCAAAACAGAAAAACAGAAAGAAAAAAAAAAAACCATAAGGAGCTAAATTAAACTTGAAATGTACAGATGTGCTCACTAAAGGCAGTGGCTGTCAGTGTTATCAATGACCATCAATCTTTTAAATTTTTAACCCCAGCTTGCTCATTAACATTATCTGTAAGTAAAGAGGGTTGCACTCTCAGCACACGTGGACGTTCTGCAGGCTTGGTGTGAGACGTTTTGTCTGACCATAAATATTCTGTAATTATATAAGTGGTGGTCAGCTTGGGATGTGGCTATTTTCAGACCATGAGTATTAACCTTACAGGTGTCTTGTGAGTGCCTCACTATTCACTTTAAGATGGAGTCACTCTGGTCATGTCTTATTAAACAAGAGGCCTGGTAAGCAGGGCTTTCTTGAACATAATCACTTCCTGAAGGCCCCACGACCAGACACCATTACATTGGGAATTAGATTTCCACATTCTAATTTGGGGGGGGACACAAACATTCAGACCATAGCACAGTACAAACCTCTCAGCCACCCTACTCTGTTCCTCTCTTTCTCTGTCTTTAACAGCTTTGTTTATCTTCTGCTAGGTCCTAACCCTGTTTGATGCTCCTACTTGGGACTTCTCACCTGCCCCCTGACTAGGGCTATTAGGAGTATGGGGCACTCTACCGTTATTCCTCTTTCACACTCAGTAGCCCCGGTGGGGTCTAGAACAAGGGTTCTCATTTATTAATGTGCAGAAGAATTGGATGGGAAGTGTATGAAGCATGTAAATTCTGGTACACCCTTCCCTCGGGTCCAGGTACAGCCAGCATCTGTAGCAGTGGAACTGTCTGTGAAGATGGGAATGTTCTATTCTGTGTTGTCTTAAAGCGGAGCTACTAGTCACATGTGGCAATTGACTTGTGAGTGCCTCACTATTCACTTTAAGATGGACTTGAAATGTGGCTAACATGATGGAGAAACTGAATTATTCATTTTATTGTATTTTGATTAATTTAAATCTAAATAGCCATATGTGGCTGGTTGCTATCATTTTGAACAGTGCAGAGCTATAGGTTTAGCAAGCATCACAACTGATTTTAATGAACAATAGTGTTTAAGACTGTAACAGGCAATCCAGGTGACCCGTATGCTCACTTACTGGTAAATAGTAGGTAATCAACAAATGTTGTTGAATGGATGAATGAATGGAGGAACTAATAACTAAATGAATGAATCAGACTATAATTTCCTTGAGATTTAAGCCTATCTGTCCTGAAAAAGAAAAGGTGGGGGACTATTCCAGATTAAAGAGGCTAAAAAGACTTGACAACTAAATGGAATAAATTGGCATTAAAAGGATCCTTGTTCAAAAATGAGCAGAGGTCATTAAGTGAAATAAGCCAGGCACAGAAAGACAAATATTGCATTTCTTGCTCATACATGGGAGCTAAAAAGGTTGATCTCATGGAGGTAGAGAGTGAATGATAGATATCAGAGACTGAGATAGGTGTAGGGGATAGAGGGAGAGGGAAGAAGAGAGGTTGGTGAATGGATACGAACAGACAGAAAAAAACAAGTTCTAGTGTTTGATAGCACAGTAGGGTGACTATAGCTAGCAACGGTGTATTGTATATTTCAAAACAGCTAGAAGAGAAGTCTTGAAATGTTCCCAACACATAAAATGATAAATACTCAAGATGATGACTTAAATGCCCTGACTTGATAATTACAGATTCTATGCATGTAATAAAATACCACATGCACACTATAAATATGTACAAATATTATGTATCAGTTACAAAATTGGGGGCCAGGCATAGTGGCTCATGCCTGTAATTCCAGCACTTTGGGAGGCTGAGGTGGGTGGATCACAAGATCAAGAGATCAAGACCATCCTAGCCAACATGGTGAAACCCCATCTCTATTAAAAATACAAAAAAATTAGTTGGGCATGGTAGCAGGCACCTGTAATCCAGCTCCTTGGGAGGCTAAAGCAGGAGAATCGCTCGAACCCAAGAGATGGCGGTTTCAGTGGGCTGTGATGTGCTATTGCACTCCAGGCTGGGCAAGAGTGAGGCTCTGGCTCAAAAAAAAGCGAAAAGAGAAGAATTGTAATGTTTCCAACACAAAGAAAAGTGTTTTTGGTGATAGATATCCCAATTACCCTGATTTCATCATTCCACATTGTATACAGGCATCAAAATATTACATGTACCCCCAAATATGTACAACTATTATGTATCAATAAAATGTTGAATAAAAAATATTAAAAATAACTATAAGAGACATTTTGAGGACAACTGGAGAAATGTGACTATTGGCATTTTATATGATATTAGAAAAGTATTTTTAGTTTTCTTAGGTAAGATAATGTTATTATAAGGTTTTATTCTTAGGAAATACAAGCTGAATTACTTAGGGATAAAGCATCTTACATCAATAGCTTATTTTCAAGTGGCTCAGCCAAAACTGTGTATGTGTGGTGGGTGGGCATGGGGTGGGGGGAGATAGAGAGACAGAGAGGAGAGAAGGACAGAGAGGACACAAAAATGGCAAAATGTTAGCAATCGTTGCATCTAACTAAGTATATTTTGGTGTTCATTGTATATGTTCCTTCACTGTTTTTGTATATTTGAAATGTTTTTTTCTTTTTTTAAATTTTATTTTATATTTTTTGTGATTTGTCTTTGGGAGTAAAAAACAATATTTGAAATTTTTTTTTAAAGTTTGGGGAAATTTTATCCACAATGAATTGGCAAATTCTAAAGTAAAGTAAAAACCTTTTTTTTTTTTGAGACAGGGTCTTACTCTCTCAGGAACCCACACTGGAGTGCAGTGGTGCCATTACGGCTCACGGCAGCCTTGACCTCTTGGACTCAAGCGATCCTCTCACCTCAGCATCACTCTTAAGTAGCTGGGACTACAGGCATGCACCACCATGTCCAGCTAATTTTTAAACTTTTTTTAAGTAGAGATAGGCTCTCACTACATTGCTCAGACTGGTCTTGAACTCCTGGGCTCAAACAATCAACCCACCTCAGCCTCCCAAAGTGCTAGGAATATAGGTGTGAGTCACTGTGCATGGCCAAATTTTAAACATGGATCTTCTGACATTTAGATGCTAACCTCCCCACTCCTTCGCAGACTAACACAGTGCTGAAATCATGTTACAAATTCTCTAGACCAGATAATTGCAAACTGGCAACCTACAGATCCTATTTGGCCAGCATTAACGTTTTCCTTGGCACAAATAGAGTGTTGTTTTAAATTAAGTTAGTTGTTAACATTTAAAATTCAGAGTATTTTTATTTTGATATATTATGTATTAAAATATTTTGCATTATGATGTATTATATAGTAAAATATTTTGCATTATGTTGAAATGTAAAATACTACCTTATAATAGCAAACATGTATAGATCACTTCTTATGAGACAAGCACTGTTCTAAGAGTTTCATGTATATTTAGGTCATTTACTCCTCACAACAGCACTAATGGGATAAGTATTATTATTATCCTCTCTCTACAGATGGGGAAACTGATGAGCAAAGAGGTGAAATAACGTTCCCAAAGTCTCAGAGCCACTGACTCTTAGCACCAGGGTTGAAACCTGTCCAGTCTGCCTTCCAACCACAAAACCATATCACCACTCACAGAAGTACTCATCCCCACTGCTTCTGGAAAAACCAGGTCTGGCAACACATTCCCATATGGCATCAATTAACCAGAGCTAGCTGAGAAATTTCACTTCCCTGAAGGGCATTTTCTCTTTCACTTGCCAGTTTCCACTCAGTTGACTTCTGGGACCTTTGAGGTTGTGACCTCTGCTCTAGCCACAGCTCGGCTGAATATGCCAAGGGGAATGGCATGTTACAGATATTTCACAGACACCTATACACTGCCCCAGACCAGGAGAGGTGTCAGGCTGACCTCTAAGTGGACAGGAAGCCCCAGTGGAAGAGAAGATTAGAAGGTAACCTATGCCAGATTGTGGGTAGAAGAGTGTTTAGAATGCCAGGATAATTTTCAGCAGACAATGGAGAAAAGTTACAGAAAGCAGAAGTTACACATCCCATGGTTGGTAATATGCCCCATCAGAGGGCAGTGGGGGGCAGTGAAAATAGCATGGGCCAGCATGGCCTGGATTGCAAAGCTGATTGCATCACTTAGCAGCTGTGTGACCTTGGACAAGTGACTTACCTTCTTCGAGCTTCTGTTTCCTTGTCTCAAAAATGGGGATAAAGACACCTCCAGGATGGTGGAAGGAATTAAATGAGACAGTGTGTGAAGTCTCTTTAGCCCCTGTTAATATAGATAACTTAACTACTTTTCTTACTAATCATTTATATTCATATTTTCCCCTAGAGCTAAGAAGCAAGAAGAAATTGGGGCGCCATGGTAAGCACCAGGAGCTTATTGGAGCTTCACATTGAGAGGTCCAGGTCTTTTTTCATTTAGCCTGTAGCCCAAGCAGGTAGCAGACTTGCTCTTATGGTTTTTATAATATTTATCAGCTTTTCTCCAAACCAGAGATGCCGAACAGAACCTGGAAGAAATTGATGCAGAGTAAGGGGAAAACAGAGTTGAGAAACATTTTTGAGCAAAGAGTTTTAGTGAAAATTTAAATAAAACAGTCAAAAAGCCAGCAATAGTCTAAACGGTTAACAGTTCCTTCATTCAGCAAGCACTGAGTACTCACAAAGGTCTAGGCCCCATGCCAGATGCTTGGGACTTCGATGCCTGCAAAACCAGACATGGCCACTGTCCTCACAGCCCGCCTTCTGGTGGTAGCTGATTAAATGATAGTACACCCATATTCCAGAATGTTACACTGCCATTATAAAGAAAGTTTGCAAAGAATAACTAATAAAACAATCTAGTCTCATAAAGCAGGATGAGAGGTCATATTCATAGTGTTATCTGTATGATATATATCACCTGTAATCCACAACTAAAAAATAACCATTGTTAACAGTGTAGTCCATTACATTCAGTTCTTTTTTTCCTATTCTAAACAATTCTACTCCAAATATACAATAAACTATTGGAAAATTGTAAAAAGTAATTATAGTTTTTATTTCTGGGTTGCGGGATTGTGATTTTCTACACATTCCAAGGTTTCTATAAAAAGCAGGTATAAACAGGAAATATGTCGATTAAAACACAGTCACAGACATGCATAGAGCTTCTCCTCAGTATCCATTTGTTTTCTTTCCCCTGTTCTTGGTGTCTCCAGGGGAAAGCACGCAGAACCTCACCAGGGCAGCACAGGCATTGTGAGGGGTGCTTCAACCGCCACTGCCACATTCCTGTGGAACCCAACATCTCCTGCCTGGTAATAAGCTGCCACCTGCTCTGTGGTGCCACCTTCCACATGTGCAAAGAGGCAGAGCACCAGCTTCTCTGCCCATTAGAGCAGGTTCCCTGCCTCAACTCCAAATATGGCTGCCCCCTGTCCATGTCCCGCCACAAGCTGGCCAAGCACCTGCAGGTGTGCCCCGCCAGCGTGGTCTGCTGCTCCATGGAGTGGAACCGCTGGCCAAACGTGGACTCTGAAACCACCCTTCATGAGAACATCATGAAAGAAAACCCCAATGAGGAGTGTTTGGACACAGCCCTGGCCCTGCAGGACCAGAAGGTCCTCTTCAGATCCTTGAAAATGGTGGAACTTTTCCCAGAAACTAGAGAGGCCACTGAGGAGGAGCCAACTATGAATGGTGAAACCAGTGTGGAGGACATGGGAGGAGCAGTGGGTGGATTGGATGTCGGTTTGGTACCACATGATTTGTCAGCAACTAATGAGGAGATGGCAGAGCTAAGTCAAGAAGAACGGGAGATGCTAGCCAAAACCAAAGAAGGGATGGACCTGGACAAGTTTGGCCAGTGGGAAAATATTTTCAGTAAAGAGCATGCAGCCTCTGCTTTAACAAATTCATCAGTGAGCTGTGAGAGCAAGAACAAGATTGGCCCAGAGAAAGAACAGATTTCCAGTGGCAATAACACGGTAGAAGGAGAGGGCGTTCCCAAAAAGAAAGAACCACAGGAGAATGAGAAGCAACAGGACATTCATAAAGCCGTGGAAACCGCAGGGCTTGCCCCTTGGCAGGATGGTGTTCTGGAAAGACTGAAAACAGCTGTGGATGCAAAGGACTATAACATGTATTTAGTGCACAATGGGCGGATGCTGATTCACTTCGGTCAGATGCCTGCTTGTACACCTAAGGAGAGAGACTTTGTTTATGGCAAGCTTGAAGCTCAGGAAGTTAAGACTGTGTACACCTTCAAAGTTCCTGTGAGCTACTGTGGAAAGCGAGCTCGACTTGGAGACGCCATGTTGAGTTGTAAGCCCAGTGAACACAAGGCAGTGGATACTTCAGATCTGGGGATCACTGTGGAGGATCTGCCCAAATCAGATCTCATCAAGACCACCCTCCAGTGTGCTTTGGAAAGAGAACTCAAAGGCCACGTCATCTCTGAATCCAGAAGCATTGATGGACTGTTCATGGATTTTGCCACACAAACATACAACTTTGAGCCGGAACAGTTTTCCTCTGGGACAGTGCTGGCTGACCTAGCCCCTGCCACCCCAGGGGGACTCCACGTGGAGCTCCACAGCGAGTGTGTGACCAGGAGACACAACAAAAGCAGCTCTGCCTTCACTTTCACTTGCAACAAATTCTTCAGGAGGGATGAGTTCCCCCTGCACTTCAAGAATGTTCACACAGACATTCAGTCGTGTCTCAATGGCTGGTTCCAGCATCGATGCCCCCTTGCCTACATGGGTTGTACATTTGTTCAAAACCATTTCCGTCCCCCAGGGCAAAAGGCAAAAGTAATCTATAGTCAGGAGCTCAAGACCTTTGCCATTAAGCCAGAGGTTGCTCCAGAGCTGAGTGAGGGAAGGAAGAACAACCATCTTTTGGGCCATGGAGGAAAAAGTGAGAATTCTCTAACCAGCCTGCCCCTGGAGATTTTGCAGTACATTGCTGGGTTCTTGGACAGCGTCAGCCTGGCCCAGCTCTCCCAGGTGTCTGTGCTGATGAGGAATATCTGTGCCACTTTATTACAAGAGAGAGGGATGGTCCTCTTGCAATGGAAGAAGAAGAGGTATTCCCATGGAGGCTTCTCCTGGAGAGTCCACAGAGAAGTGAGTAAACACTCATTTATGTAGTAATTAGTTCATTCAACAACTTTTTGTTTCATTTTTTAGAGACAGATTCTCTCTCTGTTGCCAGGCAAAAGTGCAGTGGCTCAATCGTAGCTTACCACAGCCTCAAACTTCTGGGCTCACGTGATCCTCTTGCCTCAGTCTTCCAAGTAGCTGGGACTACAGATGTACATTACCACATCCAACTAATATTTATTTATTTATAGTTTTGAGATTAAGTCTCGCTCTGTCGCCCAGGCAGGAATGCAGCAGCGCTATCTCAGCTCACTGCTACCTCAACCTCCTGGGTACAGTCAATTCTCTCACTTCAGATTCCTAACTAGTTGGGATTACAGGGGCATGCCACCACAACCAGCTAATTTTTTGTATATTTAGTAGAGATGGGGTCTCACCATGTTGGCCAGGCTGGTCTCGAATTCCTGACCTCAGGTGATCCTCTCGCCTTGGCCTCCCAAAGTGCTGGGATTACAGGTGTGAGCCACCATGCCCAGCCACATCTGACTAATTTTTAAATTGAGATGGGGTCTCACTGTATTGTACAGGCTGGTTTTGAACTACTCAACTCCTGACCTCAAGTGATCTTCCCATTTTGGCCTCCCAAAGTGCTGAAATTACACGTGTGAGACACTGCGCCTGGCCTTAACAAATATTTTTCATGAGTTATTTGTTTATTTGTTTGTTTGTTTGTTTGTTTTGAGATAGAGTTTCACTCTTGTTGCCCAGGCTGGAGTGCAATGGTGCCATCTCAGCTCACTGCAACCTCTGCCTCCTGGGTTCAAGTGATTCTCCTGCCTCAGCTTCCCAAGTAACTGGGATTACAGGCATGCGCCACCATGCCAGGCTAATCTTGTATTTTTAGTAGAGACAGGTTTCTCCACGTTGGTCAGGCTGGTCTCAAACTCCCGACCTCAGGTGATCCTCCTGCCTTGGCCTCCCAAAGTGCTGGGATTACACTCATGAGCCACTGGGCCCAGCCTTAAGGAGCTTTTTATGTGCCAAGCACAGTACTAGGGACTGGGACAATTGCTGAGAATAAGACTGACTTAAGGAGGTCAGTCTAGTAGAAAAGACAGACTTATAAACATGTAAACAGCAATGCAGAGGATAGAGCCTGTTCATCTGTATATGCGTGCTGAACATCTTCTGTTTGCTCACACGATCCATTCTCCATTCTTCTCCACACTATCTGTCCCCTGGGAGGCTGACCTGCACAGATTGCCTCAGCTGCCTCCCTTGCCTTCCAGCTTCCAGTGGGGCTAACCTAATTGGAGTGTGTCAGCAGGAAACGGGAGGGAGGGAAGAAAGAGGTTGAAGTATCTATTCTCCTGGCTTCGCTCATGCATGCTTTCTCTCCTTCATGACACTTTGCGCAGGCACTGTTCCTCCACTGAAGGTGGCTTTATCAGGTTGGTCTCTATACAAAATTACTCACTCTGGGATCCAATAACCTCCCTTCTTCTCCTTCAGGACCAGGGCATGACTCTCTATGTTGCTACTCACCCTTGGGACTGCACTGTATCTTGTGGCTTTCCTATACCCTGCTCTCATGTCTGTAAATTATTCCTTTTAAAAAAAAATCCTCTTTAGATTTCCCAGTCTGAGTGTGCCACCTGTTCCCTGCTCTGAGTTTGATTGATACAGGAGGCCAACAAATCTCCTCAATCCCACATCAACTAATTTTTTAAAACAGTTTCGCCTTTGATAAAGGCATTTTGAAATTCTAAATGAATTGGCCCACTGATTTCCCATGATTCAAATGCGAATTTAATTGTTCAAAAAACACTCTGTTGTATAAATCAAAGAACCTTTCCATTCAGAAATACCTTGTTCCTTTTCCCCAATGGGTCATGTTTGTTTAACTGTATTATAACTTCTACCAGCTTGTACCATGCTGAAGTGAGGCTCCTAATTCATCATATTCCAGTGCCTGTAGCACCCTTTCTCGTGGTAAACATGTTGGTAATATGAACCATAAATTTATGATGCCCATTTAGGCCAATAATTCCATAATCTCACTGCTGAATTTCTTCCTAATATGCGGTGTTTGCAAATTGGCATTGGGGAGTTATAGTTGTTTACATCTATTTTTATTAATTATGTCTAAAACATTTAGTATGTTTTCCATTATTTATTCCTGAGCAGTCTTCCTCAAAAAGTAATTACAAGACTCTCTCTCTTGTATACGTGCCTGTATTTAAGTGTTAAATAAACATTGATTGCCAACCAAGCACATATTAGGAAGAAACATGATTGCAGACTGACACACTGCCTTCACAAATAGTATTGTCTAAAACCACCTAAAAATAGACGTAAATAATTTAATTTAGAGACTAGAAATCGCATTAATTTTTGGCTCCAGTTTGTCTCCAATTCAATGATGATTGACCACTCTCAGATATTCTTTGGGACAAGCTAATTTCCTTGCAGAAAGAAATAAAATTAGTTGGGGCTAAAGGATACTCACATTAGAATGGGTTTTGTTTTTGTTTTTGTTGTTTTATGGTTTTTGTTTTTGTTTTTAGATTGAGTGTCACTGTGTCACCCAGGCTGTAGGGCAGTGGCTCAATTTCAGCTCACTGTAACCTCCACCTCCTGGGTTCCAGCGATTCTCCTGCCTCAGCCTCCCAAGTAGCTGGGATTACAGGCACCTGCCACCATGCCTAGCTAATTTTTTGTATCTTTTTTTTAAATTGCATTTTAGGTTTTGGGGTACATGCGCGGAACATGCAAGACATTTGCATAGGTACACACATGGCAGTGTGTTTTGCTGCCTTCCTCCCCTTCACTCACATTTGGCATTTCTCCCCAGGCTATCCCTCCCCTGCTCCCCCCACCACTGTCCCTCCCTTCTTCCCCCCAATAGACCCCAGTGTTTGGTACTCCCTTCCCTGTGTCCCTGTGTTCTCATTTTTCTTCACCCACCTATGAGTGAGAATATGCAGTATTTCATCTTCTGTTCTTGGGTCAGTTTGCTGAGAATGATGTTCTCCAGATTCATCCATGTCCCTACAAACGACACGAACTCATCATTTTTGATTGCTGCATAATATTCCATGGTGTATATGTGCCACATATTCCCAATCCAGTCTGTTATCAATGGGCATTTGGGTTGATTCCAGGTCTTTGCTATTGTAAACAGTGCTGCAATGAACAATTGTGTGCATGTGTCCTTATAGTAGACCGATTTATAGTCCTTTGGATATATATACCCAGTAATGGGATTGCTGGGTCAAATGGAGTTTCTATTTCTAGGTCTTTGAGGAATCGCCACACTGTCTTCCACAATGGTTGAACTAATTTACACTCCCACCAGCAGTGTAAAAGTGTTCCTATTTCTCCACATCCTCTCCAGCATCTGTTGTCTCCAGATTTTTTAATGATTGCCATTCTAACTGGCGTGAGATGGTATCTCAATGTAGCTTTGATTTGCGTTTCTCTGATGACCAGTGATGATGAGCATTTTTTCATATGTTTGTTGGCCTCTTGTATGTCTTCTTTTGTAAAGTGTCTGTTCATATCCTTTGCCCATTTTTGAATGGGCTTGTTTGTTTGTTCCCTGTAAATCTGTTTGATTTCTTTGTAAATTCTGGATATCAGCCCTTTGTCAGATGGGTAGACTGCAAAAATTTTTTCCCATTCTGTTGGTTGCCGATTCACTCTAGTGACTGTTTCTTTTGCCATGCAGAAGCTGTGGAGTTTGATTAGGTCCCATTTGTCTATTTTGGCTTTTGATGCCAATGCTTTTGGTGTTTTGGTCATGAAGTCCTTGCCTACTGCTATGTCCTGAATGGTTTTGCCTAGATTTTCTTCTAGTGTTTTTATGGTGCCAGGTCTTATGTTTAAGTCTTTAATCCATCTGGAGTTAATTTTAGTGTAAGGTGTCAGGAAGGGATCCAGTTTCTGCTTTCTGCACATGGCTAGCCAGTTTTCCCAACACCATTTATTAAACAGGGAATCCTTTCCCCATTGCTTGTTTTTGTCAGGTTTATCAAAGATTGTATGGTTGTAGATATGTTGTGTTGCCTCTGATGCCTCTGTCCTGTTCCATTGGTCTATATCTCTGTTTTGGTACCAGTACCAAGCTGTTTTGATTACTGTAGCCTTGTAGTATAGTTTGAAATCCGGTAGTGTGATGCCCCCGCTGTGTTCTTTTTGCTTAGAATTGACTTGGCTATGCAGGATCTCTTTTGGTTCCATATGAAGTACATGGTGGTTTTTTCCAGTTCTGTGAAGAAAGTCAATGGTAGCTTGATGGGGATAGCGTTGATTCTATAAATTACTTTGGGCAGTATAGCCATTTTCACGATATTAATTCTTCCTAACCATGAACATGGAATGTTTCTCCGTTTGTGTCCTCTCTTATTTCGTTGAGCAGTGGTTTGTAGTTTTCCTTGAAGAGGTCCCTTACGTTCCTTGTGAGTTGTATTCCTAGGTATTTTATTCTTTTTGTAGCAATTGTGAATGGCAGTTCGTTCTTGATTTGGCTCTCTTTAAGTCTGTTATTGGTGTATAGGAAGGCTTGTGATTTTTGCACATTGATTTTATATCCTGAGACTTTGCTGAAGTTGCTTATCAGTTTCAGGAGATTTTGGGCTGAGGTGATGGGGTCTTCTAGGTATACTATCATGTCGTCTGCAGGTAGTGACAATTTGGCTTCCACCTTTCCTATTTGAATACCCTTTATTTCTTTTTCTTGCCTGATTGCTCTGGCTAGAACTTCCAGTACTATATTGAATAGGAGTGGTGAAAGAGGGCATCCTTGTCTAGTGCCAGATTTCAAAGGGAATGCTTCCAGTTGTTGCCCATTCAGTATGATTTTGGCTGTTGGTTTGTCGTAAATAGCTTTTATTACTTTGAGATACATTCCACCGATACCGAGTTTATTGAGGGTTTTTAGCATAAAGGGCTGTTGAATTTTGTCAAATGCCTTCTCTGCGTCAATTGAGATAATCATGTGGTTTTTGTTTTTGGTTCTGTTTATGTGGTGAATTACGTTTATAGACTTGCGTGTGTTGAACCAGCCTTGCATACCCGGGATGAATCCTACTTGATCATGATGGATAAGTTTTTTGATGTGCTGTTGCAATCAGCTTGCCAGTATTTTATTGAAGATTTTTGCATCTATGTTCATCATGGATATTGGCCTGAAGTTTTCTTTTCTTGTTGGTTCTCTGCCAGGTTTTGGTAACAGGATGATGTTGGTCTCATAAAATGATTTGGGAAGGATTCCCTCTTTTTGGATTATTTGGAATAGTTTCAGAATGAATGGTACCAGCTCCTCTTTGTGTGTCTGGTAGAATTTGGCTGTGAACCCATCTGGACCTGGGCTTTTTTTGTGTGGTAGGCTCTTAATTGCTGCCTCGACTTCAGACCTTGTTATTGGTCTATTCATAGTTTCGGCTTCCTCCTGGTTTAGGCTTGGGAGGACACAGGAGTCCAGGAATTTATCCATTTCTTCCAGGTTTACTAGTTTATGTGCATAGAGTTGTTTGTAATACTCTCTGATGATGGTTTGAATTTCTGTGGAATCTGTGGTGATTTCCCCTTTATTGTTTTTTATTGCATCTATTTGGTTGTTCTCTCTTTTCTTTTTTATCAGTCTGGCTAGTGGTTTGTCTATTTTGTTGATCTTTTCAAAAAAACAGCTCTTGGATTTATTGATTTTTTGAAGGGTTTTTCGTGTCTCCATCTCCTTCAGTTCTGCTCTGATCTTAGTTATTTCTTGTCTTCTGCTAGGTTTTGAGTTTTTTTGATCTTGCTCCTCTAGCTCTTTCAATTTTGATGATAGGGTGTCAATTTTGGATCTCTCCACTCTTCTCATATGGACACTTATAGCTATATATTTTCCTCTAGAGACTGCTTTAAATGTGTCCCAGAGATTCTGGTATGTTGTGTCTTTGTTCTCGTTGGTTTCGAAGAACTTCTTTATCTCTGCCTTCATTTCATTGTTTATCCAGTCAACATTCAAGAGCCAGTTGTTCAGTTTCCATGAAGCTGTGCGGTTCTGAGTTCATTTCTGAATTCTGAGTTCTAACTTGATTGCACTATGGTCTGAGAGGCTGTTATAATTTCAGTTGTTTTGCATTTGCTGAGGAGTGATTTACTTCCAATTATGTGGTCAATTTTAGAGTAGGTGTGATGTGGTGCTGAGAAGAAAGTATATTCTGTGGATTTGGGGTAGAGAGTTCTGTAAATGTCTATCAGGTTTGCTTGTTCTAGGTCTGAGTTCAAGTCCTGGATATCCTTGTTAATTTTCTGTCTGGTTGATCTGTCTAATATTGATAGTGGAGTGTTAAAGTCTCCCACTATTATTGTGTGGGGGTCTAAGTCTCTTTGTAAGTCATTAAGAACTTGCCTTATATATCTGGGTGCTCCTGTATTGGGTCCATATATATTTAGGATCATTAGCTCTTCTTGTTTTATCGATCCTTTTACCATTATGTAATGACCTTCTTTGTCTCTTTTGATCTTTGTTGCTTTAAAGTCTATTTTATCAGAGATGAGAATTGCAACTCCTGCTTTTTTTTTTTTTTTTTTTTTTGCTCTCCATTTGCTTGGTAAATCGTCCTCCATCCCTTTATTTTGAGCCTTTGTGTATCCTTGCATGTGAGATGGGTTTCCTGGATACAGCACACCGATGGGTTTTGGTTTTTTATCCAATTTGCCAGTCTGTGTCTTTTGATTGGTGCATTTAGCCCATTTACATTTAGGGTGAATATTGTTATGTGTGAATTTGATACTGCCATTTTGATGCTAGCTGGCTGTTTTGCCCATTAGTTGATGAAGATTCTTCATTTTGTTGTTGCTCTTTAGCATTTAGTGTGTTTTTGGAGTGGCTGGTACTGGTTGTTCCTTTATATGTAGTGCCTCTTTCAGGAGCTCTTGTAAAGCAGGCCTGGTGGTGATAAAATCTCTGAGTACTTGCTTGGTTGCAAAGGATTTTATTTTTCCTTCACTTATGAAGCTCAGTTTGGCTGGATATGTAATTCTGGGTTGAAAGTTCTTTTCTTTAAGGATGTTGAATATTGGCCCCGACTCTCTTCTTGCTTTTAGAGTTTCTGCCAAGAGATCTGCTGTGAGTCTGATGGGCTTCCATTTGTGGGTGACCCAACCTTTCTCTCTGGCTGCCCTTAGTATTTTCTCCTTCATTTCAACCCTGGTGAATCTGACGATTATGTGCCTTGGGGTTGCTCTTCTTGCGGAGTATCTTTGTGGTGTTCTCTGTATTTCCTGGATTTGAGTGTTGGCCTGCCTTGCTAGGTTGGGGAAATTTTCCTGGATAATATCCTGAAGAGTATTTTTCCAGCTTGAATTCGTTCTCTTCATCCCCTTCTGGTACACCTATCAAACGTAGGTTAGGTCTTTTCACATAGTCCCACATTTCTTGGAGACTTTGTTCATTCCTTTTTGCGTTTTTTTCTCTAATCTTGGTTTCTCATTTTATTTCATTGAGTTGATCTTTAACTTCTGATATTCTTTCTTCTGCTTGGTCAATTCGGCTGTTGAAACTTGTGCATGCTTCACGAAGTTCTCGTGTTGTGTTTTTCAGCTCCTTCAATTCATTCATATTCCTCTCTAAGTTATCCATTCTTGTTATCATTTCCTCGAATCTTTTTTCAAATCTTTTTTCAAGGTTCTTAGTTTCTTTGCATTGATTTAGAACATGTTCTTTTAGCTCACAGAAGTTTCTCATTACCCATCTTCTGAAGTCTGATTCTGTCATTTCGTCACAGTCATTCTCCATCCAGCTTTGTTCCCTTGCTGGTGAGGAGTTTTGGTCCTTTGTAGGAGGCGAGGTGTTCTGGTTTTGGGTGTTTTCCTCCTTTTTGCGCTGGTTTCTTCCCATCTTTGTGGATTTATCCACCTGTCGTCTGAGTAGTTGCTGACTTTTCGACTGGGTCTCTGAGTGGACGCCCAGATTGTTGATGATGAGGTATTTCTGTTACTTGGTTTTCCTTCTACCAGTCTAGCCCCTCCGCTGTACAACTGCTGAGGTCCACTCCAGGCCCTGCTTGTCTGGGGTACACCTGTAGCAGCCTCTGCGTGTTCACTGAGAGCTGCAATCCTGAGTTGTTCTTACCACACCGTCTTGAATCTGCACTCCACTCAGAGAAATTTTAAAAAGACCGACTTTTAGGAATTTCTTGAGGACCATGCCACCAAAAAGGCTTCCTGCAGAAGCAATAGTTGTTACACAATGAAGAGCATTTGCCTGGTGCTTAGAATTTAATCCTTCTATGGAAATCACTAGCTGCCCTTCTCACAGTGCTCCGTTTGATACTTCTATGTCACACTTCCAGTGAATTATTAAAAATCTCAAAATCCTGAACACAGTCATGGCCATCCCCTGCATGCCGCATGGGGAACAGCAGCAACGCCTAATTTTTTGTATTTTTAGTAGAGATGGGGTGTCACCATGTTGGCCAGGCTGGTCTTGAACTCCTGACCTCAAGATCCACCCACCTTGGCCTCCCAAATGCTGGGATTACAGGCATGAACTACCGTGCCCCATCTAGAATGGATTTTTAAAGTAAAAAGCGAAATAGTCCTAAGAGCTCAAAATAAAACCACTTTTCCTACATAGGATCAATGACAAGAAACTGTAGGTGAAGCAGTCAGATTGAAAGAGTATTGGGTTATGCCTACTCACATAGGCAGACTTGAAAAACTTTGCCATCACATCCCAGGTGGAAAGACCTGAGGATATTTTAGAAATTATAGAAGTCTCCTATGGGGCTCCCATTCTAGTGAGACTCATGAGTTAGGATACTTTAATTTCAAGTAATAGAAAATCAACCCAAAGTGGCATTAACAATAAAGGGAATTTATTAGCCTATGTAACTAAAAAGTTCAAAGGTAATGACTTCAGGTAAGGCTTGATCTAACAGCTCAAAAACAGCCCCCAAATGACATTTTTTTCTTTGTTTCTTACCTTTACTTCCTCTATAATGGCTACATTGTAAGATAGTTCTCCCTCGGTGGTTCCTGGTGAGTGCTGGTAGCTCCTAGGACTTCAGCTTCCCAGTTCAAGTACAGAAGGAAAAAGAGAACTTGCTTTCTGATGTCTTCGACAAAAGTTCTGAAATAAGAGTTGCATTGGTACTAATTGTCCTGATTTGAACTGTGCATCTACTCTAAAATTAATCACTTGCTGGTAGAGGAACAAGGGAGAGTGTGTGGTCAATATGCTGCTTGGTGTTAGCCATTCTTGCAACTACAGGGCTAATTGGGAAGATTATTGGTTGGAAAGGGGAACTAGGAATTGAATGCTGGAGAAGGAGCTACCAAATGTCTGCAGGAGCCACTAAACACTCTGGAGTCTAAGAATAGGAAGAACAGAAGGGCATTTCCTTATAGGGACCAAATAAAGCCAGCTGAAGTGTAATGCCCCTATATTCACCTTTGAACTTCTATCTTTCTCAACAGATCTGGCAGTTCAGCAGCCTTTTCTCCAAAATCAAGAGCTGGGAGTTTAATGAAGTCACCTCCATGTCTGAGCACCTGAAGTCTTGTCCTTTCAACATTGTAGAGCACAAAACTGACCCGATTCTTTTGACCAGCATGTGTGAGCCACGTGAGCAGGCCCGAGAGAGCTTAGTCTCCACCTTCAGAGTCAGACCACGAGGAAGATACGTCTCCTAAAAATTCAGATGTCACCCAATGCACCATTCTTGGATTTCTTCTCAGAGTTCCTGAAGTAGGACAGAGTGTGGTTTTGAGGACTCCCTTCTGTAAACTGCCTATTTGCTTATCAGGGTGTATTGGAACATGCAATGTCCTTCGAAACCTCAACACAAGGCCTAAGAATTCCCTAAGCCATGGCCTGTACCATAGTGCCATATTGATGACTTGTTTCCTTTTCTTTTCTTTTTCCTTTCTTTCTAAAATAGCTTGGTCTGAGAAGAAAGTAAATAATTTGAGGCCATTTGGAAGATGGACCCAATTTTTTAAGAGATGAGAGAGCCGCAAAATTCCATAACCAGTACAGGCCTGTGCTTTACATGAACTTTTTAGCTTACAAAGCACTTTCAAATTTGTGGGACAGTAAATGCAGGATGGGACTAAGGTGCAGAGAGTTAATCCCCAGAGAACACAGGGTGAAGGGAACACAGCTTGAAGGCTCTGGAGCTGTGTCTGTTTTGACAGTCAAGTCCAAGGCTCATTTTAGTCATCCTACTGCCTCTAAGCCAGAGAGGCACAGCCTGACATAAGAGAGCCCCTGGCTGAGCATGGCAGCTTCAAAGACACCACAGGCCAAAACATGAGAGGCAGAAATGCAGTCACAGAGTCTGTTGTTAGAATCTTGGCAACATACAGCAGGAAAGCCTTGAGGAATGGGAGTCCAAAGGAGACACCACATTTATGGAGAACCTTAGGACAAAAAGCCACAAGCCTACTTTGTATCATCTTAATGATGACTCAGGAGTCAATACTTTTTTTCTTCTGAAAATTAAGTTCTAAGTCGGAGTTAGGCAGAACATAGGCATGGCCCCAGGGCACCCTGTGCTATCTGAAACGACACCAACCTCAGCGTCATGCCAGAATACACAAGGTAGCCCAGGGAGACCATGCCTTTGGCAAAGTCCAGCCAAGGCCCACTGTAGTTCCTATGGCACCAGTCACCAGCTCCTAGACCCCACTTCGGTACCTACTGGGGTCTTGGAGAGAAAGACGTGAACATAATGGCTCCCTGAATTACTCCTACCCGTCCATATTGCTGGCCATGCATTCAGTCTGACGAAAATGGATGATACTGCCGTTTTTGGTATCAAACAGTGAATACTCATAAGAACAAAAGTAAAAGATAAAAAGACACAATAGAAACTGGCATCCCCCAAAGCAGGGCTTCATAGCCTTAGAACTATTGACATTTTGAACTAGATAATTATTTGTTTTAAGGGACTGTCCTACTGTCCCTTAAAGAAAGGCCACGCTCTGTCCTACTTCAGGAACTCTGAGAAGAAATCCTGTGCACTACAGGACACTTGCCAGTATCCTTGGCCTATCCCTGAAATGCCAGTAGCACCCACACAGAGGCGACAACCAAAAATGTCACCACACATTGCTGAATGTCGGGGAGCAAAATGGCTCCTGGTTGAAAATCCCTAGAGGATGTCATACTAGTGACAATAAGTTAGGATATGCTTATTTTTTAGAACAGCAAAATCTTATTTCCCTTAGATTTCCACAGTAGTTATGATTTCATGCAGCTCTTCATGAAACTGAAATATTTATTTTAGACATGTAGTGATTTTAAGCTGGGAACCAGATGGAGATGATGATTTGTTTGGTATGGCTTCATGTCCTTCAGCCACATGAAGAATGTATCCTTTCAGCTCTCTTTGGTTATACCTGAAGCTTGGAAAGTTGAGTTATTGGCCCTGTGTCACTGTAATTGGTGTCATTTTCCCAGCAGTCCTAGCAATTTCTCAAGCAAGTGAGAAATAGGAAAAGAAAAGGACAGGCATTGTAGGGAAGCAGAGAATAAAGAATTTCGCCAATAAAAGAAGCAGTCTAGCATATCTGGGTGCTTGTTATTGCATGGGTTCTCTCTAAACATGGTTCAGAGCTGGTGTAGATGAAGTAGCTAACACCTCTGAAAAGAGTCAAGAAGGCAGTAGAGCAAGTCCCAGACCAGAAACATGCTCCTCTTTTCATTGTAATGTGCCACTTGGTACTATTTGGTAATGTCACTCTATTTTTCCTAATTCCATCCTTTGGTTTATATTTCTTATTTGCATATAAGGCACCATTTTCTAACAATATGACGAGGGTATGACCTAAGGTTTTATTCCATGAAGATGAGTAATTGGAAACAACCTAACACTGCAGTGGGAAGGAAGGAAGAGAGTTGTCCAGGTGGCAGTTCCAAGGGAAAAGGCTCCTAAAATCCACTCTGGGTTTGTGATTTTAATAGAAAAAGAAAGGGAAACTACGGAACAGTGGAGATGAAAATCAGGGGCTGTGGATGAATGGAAGAGAAATGAGGTGCTACATAGAGAAAGGAAGAGGGCAGAGGGCTTTTCCTTCCCAAATCAGGTGGGTGGGGGCAGCCTCAGTTCAGGAGAGTGGCACTGCCCACAACTGCTGTGTAAGTTGCACACTTCCAGCCATACTCTCCCCCTCCAGTTGCTGCCTTGAGAGCTGTATTGAAGCACGAGCTTCAATAAGATAAGGACACTTCATAGTGAGAGGGCAGTGGCACCAAAGCCTTTCAGGTGACTATGGATTAGCTGGAAATGATTTGTGAGAGGAAGCTGGAATGAACAGCATGAACCGTGACTGTTATCTGATAGACAAGACAGCTAGATGTGGCTTCAGATTTCGAAGCAGCTGAGGGGAGCAAAGAGGGACAGTGTATACAGGTAGGGGAGATGTCTATGGGCAGAGCCCTTGGTGGGTATCATTGCCAAGAAAGGCCGTCCACAATAGAGATCAGCGGAATATGGAGACTGAGCTCTGTAGCACTGGGCCAGAAAGGACCTTGCTGCCTTAATAGCATAAGGGTCTGGAAAGGAAGTTTCTGTTTTACAACAAAAGGAAAAGTGAAAAGCAAGTGGGACTTGAAGATGTGTCTGAAAATCACTATAAAAGTCTCATTTATGTGTGATGTCAAATTAAACTGAAATGAAGAATGAGATTGAGTATATTTGTGGTGATTGACCTCTGTATTCTAGAAATCTCAATGTCTCTAGAAGAGGAAATAAAAGCTGCCTTGCATTCTGAAAGGCTAACTGGGTGACTCTTGTGAGTTAGGTCTAAAGATAGATGTGTGATTCAACAGGCATAGAAGTTGTCACTGAAACCAAGTGTGTATCATGAATAAAGACCAGGGCACAAGTCTGAGATGCAGTGCCAAGCTTGTCCAACCCGCCTTATTGTGTTATTTTCCAGTTTTGTTTTGTTTTAGGCTTTTAGCAGCCTGAAGCCATGGTTTTCAGTTTCTGTCTCTAGAAAAAGAGGGATACATGGAAAAGAGGGATGAGGAAGGGGCTTTACTGACCCAACCAAAAACAGAAACTATGAACCCATGGCTGTATTCTCTCCTTTGGACACCCCTGCTGGGCAGCTCACCAACTCTATGAAGCCCTGGAGCAACTAACTATGGGTCTTAGCAACTCATCCTAGCTCCTCCTTGATCCCAATGCCTTCTCCATCTTTTGTTTCTTGAGACAAGGTCTCACTCTGTCACCCAGGCTGGAGTGCAGTGGTGCGAACACAGCTCACTGAAGCCTTGACTTTTACTTCCCAGGCTCAGGTGATTCTCCCACCTCTGACTACTGAGTAGTTGGGACTGTAGGGCCATACCACCATGTCCAGCTAATTTTTTGTAGAGACAAAGTTCCACCATGTTGCCAGGCTAGCTAGAACTCTTGGGCTCAAGAGATCCACCTGCCTTGGCTTCCCAAAGTGCTAGAATTACAGGCATAATTCTCCATCTTTGAAAGATGGCCAGCTTCTCCATCTTTGAAAGCTAGACCCAGCTTCGATGCTGGTAACAGCACAGTCCTGTGATCTACTAACCAAAGATCTACACCAAATCTCTGACTTTTATTTTGATATTTCCCTAGGACCTCTTACATCTGACCTTGCTGAAGCTGTACCCACAATAGCCTGGGGCTGGGCTAAACGCACTGGCATTCTTCCTCATCCCCATATTGTGCTCGGTGCTTCACTTTTTGCCTACTACTGGCTGTTCACGTCTCACCTCTTTTCCTGTAGGCCTCAGGCCTAGACCCCTCAGCAGCTTGTGTGCGTTCTCTGTCCACTCTCTTTCCTGGCCACTGATTTCAATTATTCAGCTACAAGGAAGCCTGAACTTTCTTGAGCATGGGTCATTGTCTCTGGCTCCAAATCCTATTAAACCTCACCTAAGTTTATTTTCCTTTACCTTTACTCTTTTCCATTGGCCAAACCTCCCTTTTCCTTTTTCCTATCCCCTAATTCATATGTCTTCCTCCAGAAGACATACATCCCTAAATGGTCATTACATCCCTAAAAGAGTGAGGTCATGACCCCCAGGTAGAAGGTGTCTGGGCTTCCACTACTGCTGAAGCCAGTAGAAGCTGAACTGCCTTGATAGGCATACCTAGGATACTACTCGGCCCCTCTTATCTCACTTACTGCCATTCCTCAAGCTGATCTGTTTTGGACTGAGTTTCAAGTGCAGCCTAAGTAGGCCAGACACAGTGGTTTACGCCTGTAATCCCAGCACTTTGGGAGGCTAAGGCGGGCTATCACCTGAGGTCAGGAGTTTGAGACCAGCCTGGTCAACATGGGAAAACCCCATCTCTCCTAAAAATACAAAAATTACCCAGGCGTGGTGGCAAGCACCTGCAGTTCCAGCTACTCAGGAGGCTTGAACCCAGGAGGTGGAGGCTGCAGTGAGCTGAGACGGTGCCACTGCACTCCAGCCAGGGTGATAGAGCGAGACTACGTTTCAAAAAAAAGTTCAGCCTAAGGAAAAGGCCTAGCCCTTGACATCTAGGGTGCAGGGGAATCGGCAGTAGTAAGAGAAAGTCTCCTGGATATGCCTGGAAGAGGAAAGGCTGGAGTCTTAGGATTTGGAGTCATGAGAGCCACACAAAAAGTACTATTTACCTCGGCGTAGAGGTGACCACACTCCCACTTTATTTAGAATTTTAGGGCTGAAGAGAAAAAAGGTTCAGAGATATTTCTTCAGGGAAGGAAAGTGGGCAAATAGCACAACCAGGCAAACCACACAATCTAGACATACTTTCCCAAGTAAACAAACTGGGAAGCCCAGCGCTCACAGAGGAGGAGAGCAGAGCTTGGGGTGGCAGAGAGGTGTTTATGCAGAAGGAGGCAGGACCACAAGAGAAATGTCCATGGGTTCATCCAGGGTAGAGAGGACTCTGGGGAAGGGGACCTCCTTCCCCATGCTGTCTCTGCCCCAAGCCCTTAATGAAGCAGGAGAGGGAAGTCTGCCTAGGACCTCATCTAGTTAGAGATTTGCAGCACGAATATGGAAGGGGTGGAGACAGAGCCACTTTGGACATGGGAAATCACAGTTGCAGCAGACAGAGAGCTCCGGTCATTCCAGGAGCTTGACATAATTTGCAGGGAAGAGTCCAAAGTGGCCATGGCAACGTCCCCGCCACCAGCCCTCGTCCACCATCTCAATGTCAGTGATGACGTCATCTGGATCGAAGGAAAGCTCATCACTTCCCTCTGGGGAGAAAGTTGAGGGAATATTAGAATGGTCAGACATGAATCTCTTTCCCCATGTCCTCCTGTCTTGTATCAGGGCCTCCAGGCACCAGGGTCCTCAGGCCACTCCCAACCTACCTCCTTGGTAATCATATAGGGCCACAGCTGAGATCCCCAGACCCCCATCCGGGTAGCCCGATGATCCTGCATAATGAGAAACACAAACATGGTCTCATCAACATGAAGAAGGCAAACAGAGAAAGCTCCTGCTGGGTCAACAAAGAAATTCTTCTTCCTCTTTCCCTCCCCTGGACATGACCAAATTCTCCTGCTTCTCCTCCCACCACTCACCAGCCAGAGTGGAGGAAAAAGACCCTTCAGGCTCAAGCACCTCCTCGTAGTCCCCCTCTGCTTCATCCTCCTGCTCATGCCTGTCCATATCTCCAACATCCTCGTAGTCATTCTCAGGCTCAGGCTCAGGCTCTGCTTCATACACTGGCTCTTCCTCCACCTGGAGGCCTTCCGGAGTCCTAGGAGGCAGAGCAGGGGGCTCCTCGTTGTCCTGAGAAGAAACAGTGTGGAGCAGCGTGACTTCCACTCTCCAGGAGGACTCAATGAAGGACTGCTAAGATCTGCTCCCCACTGCCACCTTTCACCACCCTGCCTCTTCTCCCCTCCACCCTTGCCTCTGTCTAACTGCCCCTCCTGGGGGACACAGCCTTTCATCTGTCTTCACTCCTCAACCTCCTCCCACATCCACCACCCAAAACACATTCCAGAGACAATGGGAAGAGAATGTAAAATGTGTGAGGGGAGGGAAGTGGAAAGCAAGTCAGATTCTTTGGGACACCAAGGAAACACTGAAGCAAAAGCACATTGTTGAGCTACCACTGCTAGGATAACCTACTGTCCTAGTTTGCCCAGGACAAAGGAGTTTCCCAGAATGCAGGGACTTATGTGCTAACACCAGAACAGTACAAGGTAAACCAGAATGGTTGGCCACCCTGCACAGCCCACCTTCCTAAGACTCGAGGAGATGGGGTAGGGGGCAGAGAATCTTTGGGGGTTTGCTTACCTCCGAGAGAGTCAGCCTCATGGGCAGCAAGGGCACTGGATTTTCCCTACTGGTTATCACAGGCTTGGGCTCTGATGATGAAGGAGTCCCAGCTGGAGGCCAGGCCTGTGGAGAATGAAGCATCTCTCAAGTAAGCAAACCTCCATCTTCACTTTTTTTTTTTTTTTTTGACAGAATCTTACTCTGTCACCCAAGCTGGAGTGCAGTGACACGATCTCAGCTCACTGCAATCTCCACCTCCCAGGTTCAAGCAATTCTCCTGCCTCAACCTCCTGAGTAGCTGGGATTAAAGGGACATGACACCATACCTGGCTAATTTTTGTATTTTTAGTAGAGATGGGGTTTGACCATGTTGGTCAGGCTAGTCTTTAACTCCTAACCTCATGATCCACCCGCCTCCTCCTCCCAAAGTACTGGCATTATAGGTGTGAGCTACCATGCCTGGCACATCTTCACTCTTTTTATTTTTTAATTTTTTTTTTTGAGACAGGATCTCACTCTGCTGCCCCAGCTGAAGCATAGGGTTGAGATCATAGCTCACTGTAGCCTCAAACTCCTGGGCTCAAATGATCCTCCTCTCTCAGCCTCCCAAGCAGCTGGGACTATAGGTGTGCACCACCATGCCCAGCTAATCTTTAGGTTTTTTTTTTTTTTAATATATATAGGGATAGGGTCTTACTATGTTGCCCAGGTTGGTCTAGAACTCCTGGCTTCAAGTAATCCTTTCACCTTTGCCTCCTAAAGTGCTAGGATTACAAGCATGACCCACCACATCATGCATGTCTTCACTGTTACATGTACGAGGAACACCCTCTCCTGCTCTCTGCCAATTCAAATGGAACTCATTCTTCAAGATGGGCTCCAACCTGAAGTGACAGCCCCTTCCTCTCAGTTTCTACAGCAATAATTGGCTGTACTGGCTTGTGACTTGCTTTCTGTTGTACTATGTAAATCTTGGAGTTTTCTTTCTAACATTCTGATATATGAGGCCCAATTACAGTGAGACTGAAGTCTTCTAAAGTCAGAGACAACAGACGCTGCCCAGCCCAGGCGAGGCCTTTGCCTTATTTTCTGCCAATGGTGTGGACCCCTTAGGCTCCTGTCTGGGCAACAGATCTTGGATGTGGATCCTGGAGGGCCAGGCGCTCACCTCTGAGGAGATTTTCTTGGGCAGTGAGACCGGTACCGCTGGCTCCTCTATAGCTACCCCCAGCTGTGGAGCCTCAGGGCTCATCTTTACCACAGCCTTTCGCTCCTGTTGCCTCCTGGCCACCTGCTGTGCCTTCTCCTCTTCCTCTCGCTTCCTCTTCTCCTCAGCCATGGACTCAAATTTTGCCTTCAGCCCACGGGCACCACTAGAAGCTGTGGCCACAGGCAAGAAGAATTAGGGTTGTCTTGGATTGGAAGGTGGGGAAGGAGTGGCACTTGAAGGAAGAAGGGGAATCAGTTAAATATCCAGGAGGAGGGACTTGTGGGACAGGAAGGTACCAACAGAGGAAGAAGGGGATTATAGGAGGATGCCATAGCCCGGAAGCCTGGATTTTTATAAAGCCAGGCTATGCAACCTAAGACAATCCTCCTACTGAAGCCTCTGGAGTAGTTGGGATCACAGCTGCACACCAC